CACACACACACACACTTTTTTTTTCAGCCGAAGCAGAAAAAAAAGACCTTTAAAAAAATGTGTCCCCCCCCCCACTTTTAAGATGGTGATTACACCCTTGCTGGTGGGGATCTACTCCTGGGGATGTTTGGGGTCTTGGAAATCCTTTTGTCCACATCCACCGACTTGTACTTTTTAATAACGTTTTCCCTGAGTTGAATTAGGACAGTCACTTTAAAGTTTGTGAGCATTTATTTTGTCGAAAAGGCTAATCTGTATTGACCACAATTGATTTGAAACAGCAATTAAAGGTGAATGCTTTTTTAAAGGCACTGCATGCAAAGAGCGGGGACTAAAAATAATCTTTTTCTAATTGTTGCATTTACAGCTTGTTTTTGAAGGCAGGGAGTGTGTTGTGGTGTCCTGTACCCAGGAGAGGGGCTCCTCTCTGAATGTTAAAACTTCTGGGAACAACTAGAAGCTGAGAGCAAAGTGTTCTCGTGTGGTTTGCAGGGGACAGCAAGGTGCTGCTTTAAATATCCTGGAGCTCAGCTCTTTGAAGAGGAAGGACTTTGAACGTATTTTGCCGTTCACACAGCCAGAGGGGCTAAAACAGGAGAAATGTGATCTCTACTAGAAGAACCTGTCAGCACTCGAGCCGCAGCGTCCTGAACCAGCTGTAAGGTTTTCAACAAGCATGACGTTACAGTCGAGTGTGCAAGTGACCAAAGCACGGAGCAGTTTTCACAACATCATTCACAACAATGGAGAAAAGCTGTTTCACAGACGTTTTTAATGAGGATGTTAAAGGACTGGTTTTAGTCACAGAGACGACAGAGGCTGAGAAATTCCTTCAGGAGGAACATTTAAAGACAATTGCCTCCATTTGACCTGAGTTTAACTAGAGAAAATTAACTAGTTCTTAGGGTTTATTTTTCTTTTGTCTAACCTCGCTGTCCTTTTTGCGTTTTCATCCGAAAAAATTGCGTTATCTTGCAAAAGTTGTCCATTACCTCGAGAAAGCTGTCCGGTGACAGACTGCCCATAAAACAAAGTAGGTAAACAGTCTTAATTCAGCATAAACACTACTGTTGTCCAGTATTTTAGATGCTTTACTTTAGTTTAGAAGTTTTAGTTACAACAATTGACATATTTTATATTTTGAGGTAGCGTGAGAGCAAAAATCACCTGATGTCCCCTCAGAGGCTCCGTAGTATCTACGAGGCAAGCCTGTAAATGTTTATAAAATTAAAATATTTTCATCTGCAGTGAAGACACCAAAACATTATGTAACGTAGATTTTGAGCATAAAAATAAAACACATTTAATTAACATCGGGGTGTTATGTATTTTCTAGGCACATAGTTCAGTTCTACACTATAGATGAGATGTTGCCTTCAGTTGTATACATCTAAAATCTAAAGGTCTTGAAATTGCCTCCTACCGTTTCTGACACTCCCACTTCAGCACGTCTTCACAACACAGTGCTCTGTGGGGCGGGAGCTCGGCAGCAGACTGGACTCCAGGGAGGAGCTTTGTGTAAATAGGCGGAGCTTTGTACCAGTAAGCGTTTCAGCAACTCTAAATGTCCACAGGAGATTCAAGGATTTCTCAAACATGCATGAATGAGTCAAAGCAACACTCTGGGTATGTTTTTGATGAATGACGTTATAACATGATGTAAAGCTCAAAAAAGTTTATTTTGCAAAATACCACCCACCCTTCTTTAATGATGGGAAATGCTCATTAACTTCCTTTTTAAGACTTTTATTCTAAAGTGGCTTTGGGCCAGTGAACAACTGAAAACTACTAAGAACACTGATGGCACATGTTTTCCTTTAGTTATGCTTTAGTGAGAGCAACTTGCAGACTTGTCATTGACAGAAACATAAAGCAGATGAGGGTTTAACTCTGGTCACTGAGCCTGTTGTTTTACATGTAGTGATGAGTTTTACTGCTGTGCGACGGTGACACCTCCTGGTCGGTTACTCTCACTGATTCTCTCACGTCTCTCTGTTTTGGGCTCTAGGTGGCGCACTCACCCCAAGACCCTCCATTTGGGTGGGTGTTCTGTCTGTCCTCTGCTGAGGACTCTTCATGTGTCTCACATCCTTCCTCCTCACAGCACGGGTCCTCCCTCCTAGAGGTTCAAACGTATAAAGATTAGATAATCATGCTTTGAATTTCTGATATTTGAGACCAAGCTTTCTGGCTTTGATCTGAGCGATGAGAGGGTCGGTTAAATGCTGGGCTGCATCTTAAATCATACCACATCTGTACAAACTCATTAATTCTTAAGAAGATTTGGTTTGGTCAAGTTGTATAAAACACATTAATACTGGGCAGCAAAGTGGGAAAAATGCAGAACTGATGTGTTTTCTACAATGTTATGTTGGTTGGAAGGTTTTGTATTGAATGCTTTTTTTGTGTTTTGTGTTGTTTGAAATGTCTTCTTGTTGTTGGGGATAAATTGCAATGAAACTTGCAGAAAGTAACCATTCGTTAAACATCTACAACTGACTGACTTTTGGAGTCAACTCAATTTAAGTCAGTTTTACAGATGCTGACCTAAAGTTTGGTGTGGTAGTAGCTGAGACTGATCCCAAATTTATATTTTAAGAACCAACAGGTCTTTGTTCAACTCTGACAGTTTGTAAAGAATCTAAGGTATGAAGTTTTTCAAAACCTTTGGAAATAATCATAAGACGTATTACAATGTTTTAGTTTTGGAGCCAACTCTGTTTGAGATTACTTTTTTGTTTCTTTGCTTAAATCGTCCACAAGTTTGAGTCAACTCTGTTTGTCTGTTAGCAAAATATCTTATGAAGCACTTGAGAGATTATAATGAAGCTTTTACAAAGTGATCACAAGTTGTACATTTACAACTGATTAACTTTTTGGTGTCACTTAAATTCAAGATGGCCACCAGTAATCAACATAAACCAACACAACAACGTCTATAATTCAGACAGTTTAACAGATTATGAGCTATAATTTAATGTAGAAGTAACTGAGTGTGAGTCATTACACACAGAGAACTCAATAAAATGTTATTTTAAGGTTTGACCAAAGCGGCCACAGCTCTGCCTTTTTTAAACATAAGATGATCTTAGGTTAACACTCTGGTATAAGCAGTGAATGATATGTACAGTATTTAATGTTATGTTTAGAATTTTAAATTTTTTTATTTTATTTATTTATTTTTTAATGTAGCTTTTTTGAAATGCTTCAGTTTGGTCATCTTGGTTTCCTGCTGTATTCTTTGAAATGTCTTTTAATTTGGATTTTGTATTTTTACAAGGTTTGTGTTGTTTTAGGCCACCGTGGAGCCTCAGATTTGATTTGATGCTCACACGCTGCACATGCAGACGCTCTCATTGATGCAGGATCACATTACAAGCAGGCTTTTGAAGGTGGTACGATATTATCTCCACCGCCAGATAAACAAGACCTCTTCGTCTGCATATCTTTTTTTCTTTAGACCTGTCATTTCTGCATGCTAACCCGTGGCCTCTCTGCTCTGCCTCTGCCGGTTGTAGCTTCTCTGTTTTCAGGAGAAAATGTTTTCCATTCCTCGGCCAATGAATGCCACCTTTGTCCCTTCATCCTCCATCTTGTGTGAGAAA